CTGCCCTCCGTGTTCTTTCTCAGGTACTGCAACTCATTTCCGAAACGAAGGATTCTGGTGTCCAACTGTCCAACTTTCTCTCACTTTCTAATCTTCACATCAACTTTCATGTTGTCACTACGTACTCCAGTTTTCACTTTCTCGTGATCTGTTTAAATGATTCGGTCAATCTTCAGATACAGATAATCAGTACCTTTTTTTTCCTTTTCTTTCCTATTTTCGCTCAATTATTATTATTATTCTATCTGAGCATCATTTTTCTGCAAAAGCAGTTTTCTACGCCATCTACATAGCTTTGCAATAATCCGTGATTGACTTCTGTATATCACGATTACCTGCTAAATCCTCTCATTTAACTCTTTCCCACCTCCTTGGTTGACACAGATAAATAACACAAAATATTATTCTTTCACCAAATTGCTGCTTTTCTTGAGCCGTTCTAATTTACACTCTTTAGTAATCTAGAATCTGGTTTAAGCAAGGTTTGCAAATTAGAACTAGACGCATTCAGAAAACAAGGACATTCAAGAGAAAACTTAAGAAGAAAGTTGTTAAGACAGGCCTAGCTGCTGAACTGCAGTCAATCCATTATATCGAATGAATGCACACAAGACAAAGAAAAAAAGATGACTAGAATGTAAATTAAAACGGCACAACGAGATGGTTATGGTGATAAAGATACTATTACTCACGCCTTCACATATTCAGTGTCACTGTATCCTAAGATGTGGTATCATTTTCTCTTTATCTGTATCGCTTTATAGACTTTAGAACAAACATGAGATTATTTTCTCCTTTCCTCTAATCACATCTAAATAAGAGATAATGGTTTAGATATTGAAAGGTGTCTATCATTTGAGTCCAAGGCGAGTTTAATGTCTTATTTTTATACATTGAAACACACGACATGTCTGAGATAATGATTGAGATAAATAATACAAGATATGTTGCATTTCTTCAAAAGAACAACTTTGATTTGCATAACCATACAATACAATAACAAACGGCATCATTTGTAATAATACATACACAAATACGTACAATGCAACACAGGCAAACACTATACTGAGAAAACATATTTGCCACACACCCACACAAACAGAGAAAAAAAAGTCAGCCTCAAATCTTTGAATTTAATTATCAATGTTTGTTTAATTAAGATTTAAATTTTGATGCATGTATAAATTTTAATGTGAACCATGTGTGGATTTGCAGAAACATACGCGATACTTACAAACTGCATCATTTGTAAACAGGCATACAAATAACTACAATGCAATGCAGGCAAACATTATACTGCACACACATTTGTTGAAAAGAAAAGGAAAGAAAAAAAAATGTTGTATCATACTCTTTTACCGTGTCATCATTTCATGTCTTACAGTTTCTACAATATTGAGTGTTGAATTAAGAATCGACATTACGGCACTGAGACACTTCCATAAGCGCTCCGTCCACATCTTCCAGACTGTCTCCTCAGTCGTTAACTACCTCTTGGTGTTTCTACACGAATGCCCGTGTATATGCGTGTCTCTGTGTGCATATATCTGTGTATGTCTATACGTGTGTCTGTGTGTGTTAGTCTGTGTGTATCTCTGCGTGTAGTGTCTCTGGATGTGGCAACTTGTGTATGTGTATGTGTATCTGCGTGTGTGCCTGTGTATATGTGTATCTGCGTATGTGTCTGCGTTTGTGTGTCTGCGTGTATCTGTGCGTGTGCCTATGTGTATGAATGCCTGCGTATGCTTCTGCGTGTGTGTGTGTGTCTGCGTGTATGTGTGCCTGTACCTATGTGTATGAATGCCTGCGTATGCTTCTGCGTGTGTGTGTGTCTGTGGTTGTGTCTGCGTGAGCATCAGCGTGTGTGTGTGTGTCTGCGATTGTGTGTGTGTTTGTGTGTCTCCGAGTGTATCTATGTGTGTTTGTGTTTGCGTGTGTTTGTGCATATGTGTCTGTGTGTGTCTGCGTGTGTGTATGCCGGTTTGTGCGTGTGTGTGTGTCGCATGTGTGTGTCTGTGTGTGTGTATCTGCGTGTGTGATTAGGAATGTGCGCATATGTCTGTTTGTGTGTGTCTGCATTTGTTTCTATGGGTGTGTCTCTGTGTTTATATCTGTATGTTTGTGTATGTGTGGAATGTCTGTGTGGGTATGTAGCTATGTATGTGGCTGAATGGGGTGTGTTTATGTGTGCGTGAAGGTATGTGGGTGTGTTTAAGTGGGTGTGTGTGTGTGTGTGCATGCATATTACCACCCATGCTTTTGTGTTTTTTTTTTTCTTCTCTTTTTTTTTTTTTTTTTTTGATATTCATAATATACATATTATCAAATAAATATAACATGCTTATTGATAAAATACAGCTGCAGTGTGAAAGACAGGTGTTTGGAAGGGCCGAATGTAAGACGGGCCTGCGTGTCCAATTTGTGACCTTTTGAAAATAAAGTTCGTCCGTTCGTTCGTTCGTTCGTTCTACTTTTTTACTGCACGCTGTCGTTGCTGACATCGATGGATTCCTTTTTATTGTTAGTAAGTACAGAAAATAACGTATTTCTTTACACGGTTTTGGCACTCGAAGCATATAATGCTAGAAAACAAATGTATGGATCGGGAGCACAGTGAATAGGAGTTTGCCTACCAACCCAAAGGTATCGAGTAAGAGTCCGTATCATGTTTGATTCGAGTTGAGTTGATTCAAGAACCTACATCCCAGTACTCAGGCCCATCAACCCTCCGTCCCCATCTTCAACTGCCAGGGCAGAGTTCCAATAGCAATGGTGCCAGTAGCATTCTGAATATTGCCTTTCCTCTGAGCGTCGAATTTCAATGTGGATTGTTTTTAAAAATTGACTCCAGATTGACTCAGTCTAAAATAGATCGCCCTTACTAATCCTAGGAAAGTAGGGCGGTCATGGTGATCCTGACCACATCACCCATTCAGGGCCTACTCATTGTCACCATCATCATTATCATAAACCACATCTGCCATTAAGCGAAGAGGGGGAATGTGAGTTATAAATATAAATAATCACATCACCGTGGCGAGCATTATCCTGAAATAATTGCACAGTGGCACTTGTTGCTCACTCCTCGCAATCCAGGCTATCTTTGCATTACTACGGGTCGCAGATTAACAGGTGATCGGTTTCCAAGCTATGGCACGTTCGGCTACCCCGCATGCTGCGATGTTGTGGAATCTCAAAGTGTCGCGATTCCTTCATTTTGTCTTCTTCATACTTGTCCTCTACCTCTTGGTGTATCTACTTTCAGATTGCACGCTGTCGTCGTTGACATTGCTGGATTCATTCTCATGGTTAGTAAGTACACACACACACACACACACACACACACACACACACACACACACACACACACACACACACACACACACAAACAACGGATTTCTTTGCACGCTTTTGGCATAGTACCAAACAAATAGTTTATGGCTCGTTGAGGTGGCACAGTAGCTAGGAGTGTGTCTGCCGGCCCAAAGTTCTTGAGTCAAAATCCTTATCAAAGTGGATTGTTCTTAAAAATTGATCTTTGTTCCAAGATTGAAATAGCCTAAAATAGACATAACTTACTGGTTCTGGGAAAGAAGGGCGGTCATGATGATGCTGACCACATCATCCACTCAGGGCCAACTCACTGTCATCATCATCATAAACTACATCTACAATTCAGCGAAGAGAAAGAATTTGAGATCCAGTGCCCTCTGGCTGCAACCACCTATTGTCATGACGTGAAGTCGTAAAGGCTTCTCAAATGTTTGGCCTAATAGTCTATAAATCAGATCCTTACTGAATTAGACTTGTTTTCTGAAATGACCTTGGCTTCCAGGTCGACCTAGCCTTAAATGAGTACCAGTCAATATCCCAAAAAGTTAAGACTGCAGGCGTAATGCTGACAACCTCAACCACCACGTGCCGAATGATTTACGAAATATAGGTCTAACCAGATAAGCCCAATATGCCTTCATCTTCTTCTTTTTCTTCTGTCTTTCTAACCCCTAATGGAGCATCATTTTACTTCATCATTTGTACAGACCAAACATCTGTCAACGAGTCAAGGTGTGAACATGAACACTGTACTGGGAGACATTTCGTGTGGTAAAACCGAAGTCCAGGACTCTTTTCACGCCACCTGGCGCATCAGGCGTTTGATGCTTAGTTCATATCTGTAAAGACTCATCGGCCCTCGATAGGTTATGTAGTCGACGTTATACCGGTCGCCTTTACATCCCATGACTTTGCTTAGTATCCACTTGAGTCTCGGTCGATGTGGAAGCTGAAGCAATCTTTGAAGGGACAAAAATCATAATCGATGCGGAGTGGAACTCACAACCTTCAGGCTGGAACGTCTAAACGCTACAGTACGATGACTCCCTGTGTATGGACTACACCAATAAAGTCAAGGTTATATTTATTCCACACGTGCACGATATTTATGGGTTATTTATATTTTAAATTTTCAACGTATTTGTATATTTACTTTTGATTTATTTAGTTTACGGTGAGACGGTCAAGTCGCATTGTGATAAGTACGCCTGCCCGAAAGTCAGCGGTTCCTGTTCTGTAACCATATAGAACTGTTTTCACTAACCAGTACTGTTCTAGATTTAGGTCAGCCTCATAGAAAAATCCTCTAAAAACAAATGCTACAGTGCTCAGCAGAGGAGAATAGGAGTAGAGGCAGATCTAGAAAGACCTGAATACAGAACTTCGCTGACTGGCTTTAGGTATGCAGCAATGAAGTCCATTGCATTTGACCGTCAAAGATGGAAGGAGCTGACCAGTCAATAGTAACCGGTGACGCAACGAGACGGAGTATTATGGGACGTCGATGGTGATGATGAAGAATACTAAATGCATATTTCCTTGTTTTATGAGAATTTCAATGATTGAAATGACAACGTGCAAGGGGATTTTATAACAGAACAGATTTATTATTTATTATTATATCAAGGAGAAAAGTGCAATGTCTAGGTAAGCTTACTTTGCGTTTGTGTTTACATTTAGACCTAATATGCAGGATACACACGCACGCGTGCGCACACGCACAACATAATGTGTTTGTGTGTGTGTGTGTCTGTGTGTGTGTTTCTGTTTATACATAAAATGAGTAGTAACAAATTACTAAACACAGGAAAAGAAGAGTAAAATCCTAGTATATTTTATTTATTTTTTTAACGTGCAACTATAAATATAATGTTTTTTCCTGCATTTATTATAAATACTTTTCTTCTCATAGTCCATGGCGAGCGGCATTGGTAGTCGTGTCTTTTCCCAACCTTGCGTCGTTTGTACTTTCAATCAGTTCTGACACAGGTGAACTTTAATACTATTATGTCAAATTGTCCAGCGTCTTTTCTTTTAGGTCTCCTTCTGTCTCTCTTTCCCTCCAACATTCCTACTGTCACGACGTACTCCAAATGTCTCCTTCTAACATCTTGACAAAAGAATGTAGATTTTTGTGTAATCAATCAGTTCTTTTCGTGATTCAGTTTCTTTCATCATTTTGAAAAATTGGGCCTGTGCTTCAGCTATTCTGTATTTAACTTCTTTAATACACCTGTCATCTGATGTTATCAGGGTACCCAGCTACTTAATCGTAACAAAACGTGCTTAAGATTTTTCCGTTTTACTTTGATGTTGCATTTGGAGGGTTCATTTTCGTTGTAATCACAACTTTTTTTATTGTTTTGTTGCATTATTCATATTAAGCCCCTTGAATGTATGTTACGCTTATCTCCATAATTTCATGCAGTTGTGTTTCCCTTTCAGCATATCGTAAACATTGATATCAAATAACTAACTAAGCAAAAGTCTCAAGTCCTACCGTGAAAGTGGCAAATATGGACAATGCAACAGGTATCATAAACATGCGCCGTCCACCAAGCAAATATTCACTTATGGTGGCATTTTTGAAATCCTTCACAGCAAACAGGACTCCAATACCCAATGAGACCAGAAGTACCACGGCTAACACAATGTAGTCAGTCAGTTGTAAAGACACTGATGTATCCATGCTGGCTTCAACTGGAATGTGATTATTCTAAATATCAGTTCTTTACATTTATACCTGAAGATACTGTCTTTTAAACGTCTATCTTCCCTAAATTAAACTTCTGTATTATGTCTGCCCATTCGGACAACAATCTAGTCAATTATATGCACAAGGAGACCTTCCGATGAATTCAAATTGTTATCTCAACCAGTTACCCTCATTAATATTAACTAAATGTTAGGTAGTATCATAAATGATGCCTTCGTTTTTAGGTGTGGTCTTATAAAAGCCCATGCCGCATTATTTCCCATAAAAAACTTTATTGTCTCTTAAGAAGACATCTGCTACATCTCTAATACTTGTCAATACTGTTTCACTTGTACCCAACATTCGAATCAAGTGAAATGTGAATTATAGAGACGCTGGTAGACCATTATTTTCTTCTAGACATAATTATGGAGAATGTCTTGGTTGTGGATCAATACTAAATACAGTGACTTCGCTGCATTTACTTTCATCATCGTTCCTTAACACTGCGTGTTTCTGGGCCACCAGTTGCTGTTGACTGGTCAGCTCTTTCTACTTTTGACGGTCAGATGCGACGGCTGCATGCCTAAAGCGTGTCCAGTCAGTCAAGTTCTGTAACCAGGACTTTCTCTTCTCTTCTTCCCCTAAACTGAACCCTTTCGATCTTATTACATGTCCGTACTATTGCATTTTCCGCCTTTTCACTGTAGTTAGAGTTAAGAAGATGTACAATAGAGTCGGAACGACTCCAGCCGTATAAATTATATACACTTGAATGCAGTTTAAAGTACAACTGCGTTTATAACCGCAGTGCTTTTTTCTTAAACATTTTCTTGTTCTGCACAGTCTGAATTAACTATCACAATCTAGTTAGCAATTCAAATGTGAGCCACTGATGTAGCAACTTCTGAATTATGTATCACAATCTAGTTAGCAATACAAATGGGAGCAACTGATGTAGCACAATAACCTAGCTGTTCTGAGTACTATTCTTTGTCTAAGGACACATTACATTATATTGGACATTATGCGAACGTTGTTTTTTTTTTTACATAAAGTTTTATCCCCTGGTATTCTCAGTTTTGTTTAGTTTTAATACCGCCATGACTACCTTTAACCGCCAAATAAAAAATATTGTAAAGTTATAAAAAGGCATCTGTTACATTTATACAATGTTAATGAGAAAATAAACAAGTATATTAGCATGAGAAATCTGCCCGGAGTGCAGCATAAAAATGAGTACATTTGTGTTAGACAAACTGTTAAAACGATGCTGGCTAATTAATCAGTTTCGATCAGCTATAATTAAAGAGAACGGAAAGCTGGAAGATCTATATAAAGCTGAATTGTTGTATTGATCTAGTTTGTAGTAAACCTTTTTTGCTGACCGTTGAGACCGAGTGTGTTAGGAAAGAAATACGCTTAGCGTGGGCTCTGATGCCTGATTCTGGGAAAGAAGGAATAGACTCAATACCCTTTAACAACAATGCACCCCCCTCCAACCACCCCCCTCCACCCCCCCCCCACCGAGTAATTAACTAGAGTAATTCAGGTTATGATTAAATAGGATGTTAGGCGCTGAAAGAGGTAGATATCGCAGCTTAGCTGCAGGTCGTAAAAATGTGCCAAACACTGTTTTAAAGATGATTGCAGAAGACGACAAATTAAAGGAGAGGGAAAAAAAGAGAGGGGAAAAAAAGAAACACCTATATCCTAACATTTATTGTACCACACAGTGTTAGTAACGGATGTCAGTACAGGAGTTAACTGTGAGTTAATAAAACCAAAAACGAAAAATTTGCATAGATCCAATACAAGTGAGTGAAAGTGAAAAAAAAAAGATGTTCAGAAGATGACTGAAATACTCTGTGAAGAGAGGCATTCTGTGTTTTATTGACTAATGGGGAAAGCATCATGAAAAAATAAAAAAGTGTAATCAAAATGACGGAAATTAATTGATTAAATCTACGAATTTTCCTCCTCAGAAAAAAATGACACATTTTTTAGTCTCACTGTGAGAAGGGGAGAACTGACAACGAATAGATGGAAAGGAAGAGAAACAAAGGTAGACCAAGAAGATCTAGACACTGGTGCTTAATGACAGGGAGGAAATATGTGTCCGAAATAATTGACAGTGAACGAAAACGAAATCTGTGGACAGAACCTGGCTATCAGCACTACAACTGCTGTCTAGAGAAGCTTAATTTCCGAAGCTTTCCAAATGTTTCCTGGGGAATTTCTTTTGAGAACTTGTCATGACGTGTGGCGTGGTTCGTAAATGAGCTCTGTGCGGTTGACAACTAGCAATATTCCTTTCTTGTTCTTTTTCTTCTTCTTCTTCTTTTTCTTCTTCTTCTTCTTCTTCTTCTTCTTCTTCTTCTTCTTCTTCTTCTTCTTCTTCTTCTTCTTCTTCTTCTTCTTCTTCTTCTTTTTCTTCTTCTTCTTCTTCTTCTTCTTCTTCTTCTTCTTCTTCTTCTTCTTCTTCTTCCTTCTTCTTCTTCTTCTTCTTCTTCTTCTTCTTCTTTCTTCTTCTTCTTCTTCTCTTCTTCTTCTTCTTTCTTCTTCTTCTTCTTCTTCACTTCTTTTTCTTCTTCTTCTTCTTCTTCTTCTTCTTCTTCTTCTTCTTCTTCTTCTTCTTCTTCTTCTTCTTCTTCTTCTTCTTCTTTCTTCTTCTTCTTCTTCTTCTTCTTCTTCTTCTTCTTCTTCTTCTTCTTCTTCTTCTTCTTCTTCTTCTTCTTCTTCTTCTTCTTCTTCTTCTTCTTCTTCTTCTTCTTCTTCCTCCTTCTCCTTCTTCTTCTTCTTCTTCTTCTTCTTCTTCTTCTTCTTCTTCTTCTTCTTCTTCTTCTTCTTCTTCTTCTTCTTCTTCTTCTTCTTCTTCTTCTTCTTCTTCTTCTTCTTCTTCTTCTTCTTCTTCTTCTTCATTTACTACTACTACTACTACTCTTCCACTATTTACCTCGTCGAGGTGTTGGGAGAGATGTAAGGATTGTGTGTGCGCCTTTTCCAATGCATTGTACAAGTTGGTGTTCATTTCTGTTGTTGCTCTTGATGATGTAGACCGATCTAGTGGGTGGCCTTTCCCTTGCTCTGTGTTTATTATCTTTCTTCAGCGGGGCTCTCTGAGGCAGCTGGTACCAGTGCATTCTCGTGAGGTGACCAAACCATCTCTTTTGTTGTTGTTTAATTAATTGTGTGACTGGTTTCAGTCCTGGTCTTCTTCTGATTTCTTCATTCTTGATTTTATCTCTTCTTGTCACACCGTTAGCTCTCCTAAGACATCTCTTCTCTGTTGTCACGACCTTCGACTCATTAGTATATTTATTTGTTCTTGGTGGTGAAAATATCAATCCAAACGAGCAGTAGAAATAACTTCTCAAAAACAAAAAAAAAGTCAAAATAAAGCCTGTCTCTCCACAGCCTTCTTTAGTATACGTAACAAAAGGACGACAATAAGTTTTTAAAAAAAATTTTGAACACATTAAACATACAGTACAGACGAGGTAGACAGACACAAATAAAATTAGCAGTTCTTGATTGGCGAGGAAAACAAGAGGTAAAATTAGTAAACGAGATTGCTGATTTACAAATGTAATAAAACAACTTAATTCTGCCATACCTGATAAAGTTTCTTTTACGCTTTTTTTAAAAAAATAAAGCGTATTATATGTAAATATTTAAACGCTAATCCAATGCGGGTTTGATAACGATTAAAGCATTAACAAATATAAACACTTTATTACTATAAGGTTTTTGCAGACTTAAAATGTTATTAATCTTCTTCTTTTCGACGTCTTCATCTTCTCCTTCTTCTCTTCCTCCTTTTTCTTCGTCTTTTTTTTTAAAAAAGTAAACCCCTCTGTCTTCTTTTAAGATAAAACCTAAATATTGGTTGGAGAATGTTTAACAGAAAAATGTACATTACGTCTCTCTTGCAACAACATCACCAACAACAACAACAACTTTTTTTCAAAAATGACCTTGGCTCCAAGGTCGACTCAGCCTTGAGTGGGTACCTGCTGCAGTCCCGGTAAGTAAAACCGGGCGGCGTGATTCTGACCACATCATCCATCTTGTGTCGATTGGTCTATAAAATATAGGTCGCGTGGAAAAATGTTCTTTTTTTAATTTTTACCTATACTACTTGTATGACATTGGGTTAGGCAGGCTATTGGGGGGGGGGGCGTGGGGGCGTGGGGGGGGGGGGGCGGGGTGGGGGGGGGGGGGCGAATTAGAAATCGATTTGTATTATAGGCTCTGTAGTAACACATTCTAGGAACCGCTGAGTGATGGAAAGGTGATACCGAAGAATTTAACTATCGGATTTATAAACTGACGGCGTAGCTTTTGCAGCAAGACTGGTTAGTACATGCAGGCATAATAGAGAAAGCTAGTTTGGCCTACACGCCTTCAGTCTGAGGGCACATTTTGAAAATGTAAATGTAAATTAAAGGTTATTGTTGTCAAATATAGTCCCGTTTATGCCCGAATGTGAACGCAGAGCAAAAAAAAAAAAAAAAAAAAAAAAAAAAAGAAGAGCAGCGTCGAAGGTCGGTTTAACAAATGTTACAGTGTGCAATGAAAAAGAAATTAATTTAAATTTAGCAAGCTATAAAGGATAATTAAGTCATTCACTTCAAGTAATGAGAACGCCTGAAGGAAAGACCAAGTGTACTTCCAGACGTTACCATTAATATAAATGTTTATGCTGTATAGTCATCTCTCTTACAAATACTTCTTTCATCTAACTTTCAATGACGATCAAAGCATATGTGTATATGCTTGGTTATAGATTAGCACGATGCAACATCTCTACATGGTGATTTGTATGACAAGTAGTAGCTTATGTGGTCGATTGCAAGTCAGGTTTGTACAGAATTAACTTGACATTTCCATCCGCAACGTTCCGCTCTCCCACGCCGTTAGACAGTTTCGACAAATTAATCCGCCGAACACAAGGAAGAAGTAATCTGGTATCTGTAACTCGCATGCATCGTCTCCGAGTACAAAAACTAATTGTGATACCGAACATAAAACATACAACAGTACCAATAAAACCATACCAATCGACAGAGATATCATACAGGAAAAAACTATACCGATACTGTTTTATTATTTGATCAACCAAAGTATTACTGACTGCACGAGAATACAGCGTTTGATTACTAAAATATGTCTGTGACACGTTGACTGCAGCAAACTTGATCATTGAGGAATTCCGAAAACACATATCACTTGTTGGGGGCGATAGGGCATATACGTTACGTCCGTACATTAAATTTCCTATTGTAAGCCATAGATTGAATACAAACGCAACAATGCCCCCACAGATAGCTCCGTATTTGTTAGACCAGGGAACAAGGGCGCCAAGTAGAAAGATGCCCAGAATAGGCCCTCCGCAGGCTCCAACGCTACTAAACACCATATTAATTAAAGGACCTTTTAAGTAGCTGGCCGAAAATGCAAGTCCTATAATCAGCAGCCCATATCCGAACACAAATACTTTTGTTATAAACGTCACGGTAGCTTCTTTAAAGTTCTTCAGTGGTGTCTTCATTAGGTCTTCTACCGTGTTGGCGGCCAGAGAACTTATTCCTGTAGAGAATTCAAATATTATACATTTCAAATAGTGGTAAAATTATAAGTAAAACATCTTTGCTATGCATTTTGCATAAATGTTTAACCAGGCACAAGTATTGTAACTATACAGTTAAACTGCACACATATATCTCTACGTGGGTTGTAGATTCTTTCCACAAAATGCAAACGGTTCTCTTAGAAAATACATATATTCTCTTCTGTTATCAAAGATCCGGATCTGTGTTTGATTTCTAATTTCAATATCTACCGAGGGTTCTCTTCAATAATATAGTGCGCGAGGTGCACGCTAGTCCTCTGTCTATGGCTGTACTTATGTTTCCTTTATAAATATCTTTAATACTGTGAAGAAAAATCGTGAAATGTGTTTGAATAGAATATGCACCGATTCATAGAGGAGGTTGGCTGCACTTAAACAGTAACTGTCTTTAACTTGTAAGCAACAGAGCCACACATGCATGCAAACTCACAGAAAAGAAAAGCAAGTGCCAAATACAGAGAAATCAAACACTCTTTAACTGTGCCAAACACAAGGAAATCCTAGTCTTCAACTGTTGTTTCGGCCAAAAAGAAAGGCGCGAGGATTGGTTTGCTATTCCCCATAATTCCCACCATCGCATCGTGTGTTCTTTGACACTTTAGGCTTAGTCTCGGAATTCTAAGTAAATCAGGTTTCAACAGTGATTACTATTACTTTGTAAATCGCTGATGGGAAAAGTATAAACCAGGTAAAACCATTTACAGAAAGTCCTTCTATTAAGACACTGCAGCTGAACCTTCTGCTACTGAAAGAGGTAAAAGTTGAAGTCCGGTTTAATAAAGGGTTATTCTTTTGTCGTTTTGTTTCAAATCTTAAAATGACATCATAACATCACGGCATCTTATATAATTGTCGTGAACATGTTTTATGGATTGCCACTGTGTCAAGCCTAGCATCATATCGCCATTGCAGTGCAGGGTTAGATGCTTTCCTGCCGGCTTTATGTTATAAGTAATCTTCCTGTCGTCTTTTTTTTTAGGGGTTGCGAACGCGCTTAGGAATGCAGGGGTGACGGGTTCGATTTTAACTAAGGACGAATGTCTTGCGTTGATTTTGACAGTGGCACCCTGAACTGCAATGGCAAACAACTGAGCGTGAAATTTGCCTAGAAAAACCACAATAAGACCCCCCCCCCCCCAAATGCTGGGGTTGGCTCTGCAACGTCCTGTAAAGGAAACGCAAATAGCTTCTAACCTTCTGGGAGGGTGGGGTGGTGGGGTCTTTTAAAATGACCACGAACTTATACATCTACCTAGCATAATATCAGAAATTCTTATAGAAAGTAGAAATATATTGCATTAAATTGACCATACTACGTATCGGATGTCACCGTAAAAAGAAAAAAAAAACTTTACATTGACGCGAAATTTCTGTTTTTGACTTTATGATTGCCTCTGCCTTCTATCACAAATACAGATGAATCATAGAAAGTCATATTATTACAAAAGACGTTACACATCTTCATCATCATCATGTAGCAGGTCCTCTGCAGAACGTCGCTCTCATTACGGCCTGCCTGAAAGAAACATGGTCTCTCGACAGCTCTCCCACCTTTTGTACTTTCACACTCAAGGAGTCACTTATATCCTGTGCCCATCTTCATAACGTGTAGAAAATCACACAGCCTGGAGGATTTATTACAGTTTGTTACGAGTTAGGTGATTCGGTCTCTGTCAGCTAAGAACTAGTTTATCCAAGTTATATATTGAGTCAGTTAGATTATCAAGAGCTGAGTAGAATGGAGGTAAGAATCATCCCATTGTGGGTTCCAGGAAATCATTTTGGTGCAAACAAGAATAGACCCATTGTTCCCCAAAATTGTCATAACAGGCGACAAATTAAGGTTGTTTTTTTTCCTCCTGCCTGAGAGGCGAGGAACCAACATCTTGTCTGCAAGGTAAGCACGATTTGTAAAATGTAAATGCACGTCCAACTCAGGTTCTGGAACATGACTAAAGTCCAAAAATAGAGGGGGAAAAAAACACGACTTTCTGCTGAAGTTTACAGCAGATAAACGATCAGAAAAAAAAAAACAAAGAAAAAGCTAGGATAACCGAACAGTTCTAAAGTCGATAGTACCAGTAGTATTCTGATTGTTTGTCCATCTTGTCTTTTCTCTGAGATTTAAGTGGTTGCCGGATTCCAAACTTGGCTCGCTCTGACTTTCTGGCTGTGATGTTTCATTTCGGTAATGTTCACGGGCTTCCGAATGTCCCCGCCCCCAATCCCCCATCTAATCTGTTATTTATATTAACACAACATAGAGCTGAATTGAGTTCCGTCATTTGCTCCCTCTGTTGACTCCTCTGGCACTGTATATTGCTCACTGTTTCCCACGTTTTAGTCTCCAGAAATGATGTATGGGATTCCGGATCTGTCCGTTTAAGTCTCACTGAATTGTCTGTAGCGATAACAAAACCACTGTCGGCTTGCTAGGTCTATCTCATCTTCACCAAGCCCGGTTGGCGAGGACGTTTCAAGGTGGCCCCAGATGTCCTTGATGGCTACCGTAGCAAAACCGTGGTACAAGGTTAAACTGTACTTCGGCAAAGCCTGGACATATCCTACTTTGTCCTGTTGCTACCTCTCACTACGCGGACGTGCCACTGTTTCATTTTTTTGAAGACAATTATTGATAGTACTTGTTATAAATAGAGACTGCCTTCATTCTCCAAGTTCTTTTCAATAATCATTTCTGTTCTCTTATCTTGTCTTTATCAACAACTTGTTATGTGTCATTAAAATGTAATTTAGTAATAATGAAATACCTCTAAACGATATACACATACCAATGACTTACTACTTACTTACTTAGTCGCTCCTCTTCTACCTTGGGGTGTAGAGGTTTGCCAGAGAGATCACCGGACGTCTCTATCAGCAGTTTTCTTTCTGGCTTTGTTACATTCCAGTCCTCTGTCAGTTAGGGACTGTCGGATGTTGTCTTCCCAGCGCACCCTGGGTCGTCCTGGAGGTCTGGTTCCCTGGTTCTTTGCACCCTATGCCTTTCATGGTGACCGATTTTCTCCCATTCTGCATACATGTCCAAACCATCGTAACTGTGACTGATCCACTCGGGTTTGTACGGACTGGGTATCAAGATCTTGACGTATTGTCTGATTGCGGACTTTGTCCCTACTTGTCACTTGGACCACCTTTCTCAGATATCTCATTTCAGAGGCCTGCAGCTGGCTTCTGTAAGCTGTTGTCATTGCCCATGCCTCACACCCATTATACTAATGACAAGCACCATATACCAACTATCTGAAACGCATTTATCAAATCATTTACTTATTCTGATAGTTCTCCGTAATGATTGGAGAAAGCATTCGTGTAATAAATACAGTTAACTCACCAGAAGAGATTGTACTCAACGAGCCACTGAATACCATAGAAAAGTAAAGTCCACCCATTCCTGGCAAATCTGTCAGCGCGTGCATCACAAAATATGGTGGCAGTTGGTTGGCGTTACTGACAATCCCAGCCTGTTGAAAATAAAACATGTACTTTTAAATCATTTTAATACTTTTATCTGTAAGAGTTCAGTATTTTATCCTTTAATAAGTCTGATCTCAGGAAGATGATCTTTGTGATAACCAGATCAAAATCAGGGGTATAGCTTATTTTGGAAGAAGATGGTAAGGTATTTAAAAAATACATTAACGCATATATACACACTAATGTGAAAAGGGACCCATTCAAATGAGAACAATCAACGCAGAGTAGGTTTCATCATAGCTAAAACCAGCAAAATATATAATATAAATAGATTACACACCATGAGAAGACTGACATAGACATACATTTATTTTAAAATTGTTGCCTGGAAACAAAACAGATAGAGAGGTTAGAACCACTTTCAGCACTCTTGACAAGAAAACATAAATAGAAGATAAATGGGAGATTTGTAAAAAAAAAAAGACATAATACCGAACAAGCTGACAGAGTACCAAGGCCTCAAAATATTTTTTTTTCACTAACAAAGAGAAAAAAAAAAAACCAGCTTGGTGGTATGAAGCTGTCAAAAGTGACATCCAAGAAAATGTAATGTTTATTTAAGTGTCAAAAGACAAAATCACATGAAGACTATTAAAGAGACAGCAATAAGAGACAGCAAAGTGAAAGCGACAAAATCATAATTTATGTGTAGAAAATTGGCCCACTGAAGTGCTGATGCACCAAGACAATTTTAAAGAAATGCTATTGCAATGAGACTGTGGCAAGCAAACTTTAACCCATCTGTTGTTATTACCTTTAAAATGAACACCAGGCGTCCCTGTCTCTGGCTCCCTCTCTCCCTCTCTCTCTCGCTCTCTCTCTCTTTCTCTCTCTCTCTCTCTCTCTCTCTCTCTCTCTCTCTCTCTCTCTCTCTCTCTCTCTCTCTAACACACCAGCCTATCAGCGGAATCTTGGGTACTCTGTGAAGAACAAATAGCAAAATGTTGTACTGACTCACCAAGAAAATGTAACAGAAGTACCAAGACACTGAAACCAAGAGAAGCAAAGTTTAACCCATCCAGTTTTATTACCACAAGTTAACAAATTACAAGCAGTCCTGCCATATGATTAAAAAAAAAAAGTCGACGGAAATAATATCTCAACGAACTATAAAACCTTGACTACAGAGTGCAATCGGAATCGCCGTGGCAGAGCGGATAAACGCGCGCCGCTGATCGGAAGGTCGTGGGTTCGCTCCCTGGCGGAGCCGGACATTTTCAAAAATGACCTTTTCTCTCAGGTCGACCCAACCTTAAGTGGATACCGGGTGCAGTCCCGGGAAGTAGAGGCGGCCGGCGTGATGCTGACCACAAGACCCATCTTATGCTGTTGGTCTTTAAAAATATAGATCTAGCCCTATATGCCCAATTCGCCTAAAGGCGTGGAAAGGGTCCTTTACTTTTTTACTTTACTTACAGAGTGCAATATTATGTCAAATAATGACAGCAAAAGACTAAAAACCAAATTTTCTGGAATCGGAAGAACTTGTCTGGAAATTCTGTAAAACGAAAAAGCGTTAAGAATAGTTTGTAAAAGTTAAAGTAAAGGTCCCTTTTCCACGCCTTTATGCGTATTCGGAATATAGGGCTAAACCTATGTTTATATAGATCAGTCGGCACTTGCTGGGTTAAGTAGTCAGCATCAGTCGCCTTTACTTCCCAGGACTGCACCTGGTACCCACTCAAGGCTGTGGCGACCTAGGAGTCAAGGTCATTTTTGAAAAAAGAGTCCGGCTCCTTCAGGAGGCGAACCCACGACCTTCGGATCTGTATGCGGGCGTGTAACCGTCAACGCCATGGTAACTCCAGGAATAGTTGGCATTACTCCTTCATTAAGCTTCGGAGACAAGGATGGTCCCAGGTGACTGGCAGAGTACAGTTGCTGTCCCTATATGGAAGGATCGTTCTTCTTCTTTTGTCGCTTCATTAATACCAGGTTGTAGCCCAGAGTCGAGTTTTTCCTGTATTTGTCTTGCTCTTTTCGTTTGGCTTGGGTGATAGGTTTGTTAATATTTTTGCAAATTTCAGCTATACCATTTGTCCATCTCTTTCTGGGTCTTCCCCTCACCTTCCTCGCAAATGCTCTGCTGCATTAAAAAAAAAGGTCACATGTGCAGTTTGGTCTTGCTGAATTTTCACTAGATGGCCAAACCATTCAATTCGTTATCTGTCAATATCCAGACATGGTCTTATTCGAACTTACCCTCTAATGCTGGTATTATTAACGCTGCCCCTTCTTGTGTTCTTAGGGACCTTGCCGAGACAGCACATTTCACATGTAATTATTTTCCGTTCTAGTGCCCTATTTATTGTCCATGTTTGGCGCTGATAACATAAAGTAGCGACACAAATGCTATTAATTATTAGCGTTTTTCCTGGAAGGGAGACATTCGGTTGTCTGAGTGGGGAAGAAGAGGGGGGGGGGGGAGGGGGATGTTAGCTGGTAGGTAGTAACAGCATTTGCCTTCTGTACTCTGGATTACAGAGTCTGGATCCCCCCGACACTTCGATGAGGTACAAGGTGGAAGAGAAGAAGAAGAAGACTCTGGATTATAACTCTCTATCGAGCCTGCCACCCTCAGTAAAATGCTTCCTAAGTATTTGAATTCTCCTACTTGTTTGACTGTAGTACCGTTAACATGGACGACTACAGGAGATATAAAGAAGTGATGATTTAACGTTATAGAATAAAAACTAATTTGCTTTCAATTTCTTTTGGCTTCGGCAAGTATCATTGTGCTATGAAAACACTTGTTATATTCCTGCACAGATGTACCACCCCACATCTTCTTGGATGGGGACATCACATCACAAGAATACTGAAATATTTTTGCTGTGTTTATTCTCATTACATTTAACTTCCCCGGTGAATTTTAAGATCCGAATTATTTGGACCTCTCATCAAATATGATCGTACATACCAATGACAAGGAACTGTAAACTAGTTGTGATGATGATGATGATTATGATGGAACTCCAAACAAATTCTTAGAGAAAAAAATATAAAACTAGATTTAATAGGGAAATGTTCCCATTTCACTTTTACAAATTCTTTGGCTTTTTAAACTGATTAGCATTCGATTTAAAGCTTTGCAACCGAACAATTTACCTGAAATGGATCACAACGCACGTGAGTAAAATAGGCATACATGACCCATCCAACTACAACCAGAAGGCTCCCATACAACAACATCATAACAGCGTTCAGTAAAAAGGCTTTCTTAGCCTCGGTCATTGACTTCATGGCTGAGATACGCTGTGAAGAAGACTGGTTGCAGATGTTGCCTAGCCTGCAATACACGTTGTTAATTTCGTTAAATAAAGGAAATTATAGAATTATTCAATGAAAGTCGTGGGTTCGCTCCCTGGCGAAGCCGGACTTTTTTCAAAAATGACCTTGGCTCTCAGGTCGACCCAGCCTTGAGTGGGTACCGGGTGCAGTCCTGGGAAGTAAAGGCGGCCGGTGTGATACTGACCACATCACCCATCTTGTGCCGATTGGTCTATAAAAAAATATAGATCTAGCCCTATATGCCCTATACGCCTAAAGGCGTGGAAAGGGGTCCTTTACTTTTACTTTTTTATTCAATGACATTTTTTTTTTAAAGAAAGAGAGAAAAAAAAAAAAAAAAAAAAAAAACAGCTGTGCAAGTTGGAGCAAATAGTAGTTTATAAACAAAGAAATCTGTCGTGGCCCTGCAATACCTTGATTGTGCACCTGCCACACTATAAATGATCCCGGAATGTGTAATTCTAATTCCAGTAGCCGCCATCGCAATAACCGACTAAAATTTACTTTTTTTTAAATAAAATCATTCATTTTTTTTTCATGTTGTGCCGTTATATGTTCGAGAGGGCTCGCAGTCAATTTCTCAGTTTCATTCTCACCTGTGCAATCAATTCATTACCATGGATGGATTCCAGTCCAGCAGCTTTTCTCAGCAACGTTCGGCTAAGGATTTCTCTTGGAAGGCCTACCCTCCTTAATTTCTTTACTCCCCCCCCCCCCCCCAATCCCTTAAATTCCTATTGTAATGACTGATTGGCGATTCTCTGCTGGTTCTTCTCAGGAAAAAACCACAAAACATAAAACAAACCTTTTCAGAAATATAAATAAACAAGTGATGTGTCAAATTATGTTTCTATTACCTTTTTCTCTAAATTTTCTGCATTTGCTTGTTTTTATTTCCTTAAAAAGGGGGTGGGGGCAACTGTTTGTCAGTATAGATATATCTCATACTTATAATTGCATGTTTACTGTCCAATATTTTGCTGCACATAGGCAGTGGCGAGGCGAGATCAAATCGTTTGTGTAAACGGTAGAAGATAACAGCTACTGTGTAAATGGTATAACCTTGTGTTTTACTCCTCGTCGATTCGCTGTTCCGCATATGCCTGAGAAACTGGCATTTTAGGCATTAGTAATTGATATCGTTAATACGTTACAGTGTCTGAGTATGTGCTTAAGCTTGCAGCGAGCATTCTTTATCGCAACTTAAACCGAGTAAGTAAAGTAAAGATCCCTTTTCACGCCTTTAGGCGCATCGAGCAATTGGGAAGAGCACCCATATTTTTACAGATCAATCGGCACTCGGTGGGTAATGTGGTCAGCATTACGCCGGCCGTTTAAACCGAGTGGCGTCAGTGTAATAAAAAGTAAAGAGTGATAATCATTACAGTTTAATTTTTCTTCAGAAAAGGAAATTGTAAGCGGCGATTACATTTTTTTCATGCACGCCTCGCCCAATGCATACAGTAGTACTGTATATAGTAGTATTGCATATAGTAGTACTGCATACTGCAGTGCTGCATATAGTAGTAATAGGGATGCTAGTGAAGTTTTATATTTTGCGTTTTACTTACGAAATTATGACAGCTAGATAAAGATTAAATTTACAAATCCAATGGTACCTTATTTAAGCCTGTAAGTCGATTTTAAGCGGAGACATATTAACATTTTAGTGGCGGATACCACCACAGAAAAATTATAGTGGAATTGCATAAAACATGGATTCCCGGCTGCGACCCAATAAGATGAAATGACTCAATGTTTGCATTTTATGCCATAATTGTTTTGTTTCTGAACGAATCCCTTAGCAACCATATATTGCTAGAATCGGGACAGTGAGACCTAACCGTTTATGCATGTCTCAATTACATACACTACGATGTGCGCCTATTTTAGATATGAACATGCCCGCAGGCTGATTATTTTTCATCAAAAACCTTATACATTTACAGTTGTCTGCCAACGAGCCTTGCCTAATACATATCATATTGTGTGTCCAGATAAAATTAAAACATATTTTTTTAGGGTGAAGGTGGGGAGAGGGTGGGTAGGATTGACCTACTGTTCCCTTTACAAAAATGTCGAAAGAGGCGACTAATTAGGTTTTTTTTTTTCGAAAATGGTACTTTTTTGTGGGTGGGGGTATTGGCGGGTAGTGGGGAGTGCGAAAGGCGCGGACAGAACAGTCTGGTAGTAAACAATAACAGTGTACCAAATGTCCATGTCAGGATGAAAGTAGAAGAAGAATAACACATATTACTTGCAGATTGGCGTTGACAACAACACGAGCAGCAGGTCAAACTGATTGACGAATCCAGTGGAAAATATTTCATTAAGAAACTGCATTGGTCTTCTTTAAAAGAAAACAGTTTAGCTTTGTTACGATAACATCAAACAGAAAAATAACTGCAGTAACAAATTAAACTTTTGAAATGTCTTCCTCAACATAATACATAACTGAAACAAAGCATAATAAATACAGCAACCTCATTATAGCTGTGTCGGCTCTGTGGCTAAGTCGATGCAAACGCTTCGTAATGCCGGGATGCCGGGTTCGATCCCAGCTGCGGGCTATGCGCCTTGCGTTGGTTTCGACAGTTGTATCAAGAAAGCCGACCGTCCAATGGCAATCTACTGGACGTAATTTTGCCTAGAAAAGCCACACAACAGCCAGGGGCTATTGGGGTTGGTTCTGCAACGTCCTGTAAAGGATACGCAACTAACCTTAACATTATAGCTGGTAAGGCAAACCCATTTAAAACTGCAGTGGTAGCCAGTACCTAGTATGTTTATTCGCTGGTTCGGTGGTCATGTTCAAGCTTCCTTAGAGATTGGCTATTTTTAGCTGATTCAGTTTTCTAGTACACTGTTTCTCAGTTGTTTTTTTTTCGCGGCCCCCTTTTCAGACAAAACAAAATTTTGCGGCACACCTAGCCTTAAAGCGGCTTAAATATTTAAGGAAAACAGAATTTAAAACAAAATTTTAAAAAATCAGTGCATATTTAATGTTCATTGTCTTTATTGCTATGAGTGAAACTGTTTGGATTAATTTTTTTATTGTGTCCCCTATAGTTTAGTCAATTGTACCTTCACATTACTTGGAGGTTGCTCCTGCATCTGCATTTTTTTTTTTCTTTTATTTAAATTTTTTTTTTTTTAAATGTAAGTCTACATTGAGAATGCACTGCAGCCTAGCCAATAGAATGGTTTCCTGAATACACTTGCATCTAGAACTTTTCTTGACTTCCTTCTTGGTATTTCCGTTTTAAAATTGCTGTCTTCGCTGATCTGAAGCAAATTTTGAAAATTCTTGATTACTGCCGCGGTACCTCGGGCATACGCTCACGGTATAGCTGGGTGCCGCGGCCCCCAGTTTGAGAACCACTGTTCTGGCAGACACAATCTAATCTCATGAAAACGTGAGAGTCCCAGTGACGTCATTGACACATAGGGCATATAGTCCTAGACCTATATGTTTATATACTTCTTATTTTAACATGACAGATGTTTTCCCATATTCAACTACACCTGCGTCTAAATAAGTTTACCACTCCACACTTTATAGAAGATTGCATTATGGAAAATTGTGAGCACATACCCCCAGTCTGATGTTAACAACTTTCCTATTCGTTGCCAAACTGTGGAGTGACCCGTTTGCTATGAAGCTGGAAATGCATTCAACTGATTAACTGGTTAGGAACGAATTGCATTATTATCTCACCACACTAAACATTTTGCGGGCGTGATCTCATTATATTTTGTTTTTGTTTTTTAACTACAGTCTCAAAACACAAAACGTTTGCATGTCCGCCTTAGTAGATATTCCTTTCTGCATATTATATACAGTCGATTTGTGCATAAACATTTTCTCAAAACAGTAGAAATGTTTGACAATAGACTATACCATAATATACTTGCGTTACAGTGAGAAGGTTAGTTGCAGAACCAACCCCAACAGTCCCTGGCTGTTGTGTGGTTTCTCTGGGAAAATTTACCTCCAGTAGTAGCCATTGCTACTGGGCAGTCGGCTTTCTTGATACCACTGTTGATTCTTATCCGCATGGTAGCACTTTGTGTTACCATGGGTTTATCGCCAGTGTGATGTTCTGGTGGGGTACCTAGACGTTTTTTTTTTTTACAAAGAAATGATCACAGTCGACATTAACTCGTTTAAAAGGCAGTGTAAGCAGGATAGAGAGTTCTGACATCATAAATTACTAACTTGTTATTGTTATTTTTGGTACCTTTTCGCTTTTTCGACACGTTGTTGCAATAGGCTTTAAAGCTACGTAGGAATCACAGACATTAGTTATGAGAATATGACAAGCAAAACCTGCTGGTAATAGGACAAATCTTTCACTAGTTCAGGGATGAAGTTGCTCCACGTCATTCTTCTACAAAGCCTGGGCAGTATTACAGAGATCATGTATTGCCGATACTGCATAATCCCAAGCTTGGCCAGTCTTGTTTACTCCGAATTTAAGGGACGCGATTACGTTTGAAAAACAAAAAGCGTGCACAGAAGCTGACAGACAAAAAGAGTGGTACTCTGTTTGACTTCCTGTTTAAGCCTTTCTCTCCTAGACCATCTGGCAGCCTGACTTAGGTAAGGGTCTGTTTGGTCTTCTCTGCAAAAACATTACATTTCCGAGTAGCAGTTTCTACTTCTTGGATAAGGCCAGTTTCCTTTTAAACAAGCTCCTCCACCCGAAGTCGTTACCCAACTAACCTCTTTTTATTGACTGTATCGTTGAAAGCGACAGCTGAAGCCATAATGTTTTTTATTATTATAGAAATGCGCCAGACCCTCATTTTCCACGCATAAAACACGGACTTAACGTTTGTGTGTCGATCATATGATAGTTTTATGATATCCACTATGCAATAAAACAAATTAATGAGAAGAGAGTGGGAAATGGAAATGGAGGCGTTGAGACCACTCGAAAACTCAGATTCCTGTGCCCATGTTTAGGTTGCTGTAGCTGCGGTAAAACACTATAGTTAATTATTTGCAATATGCCTTTCTGTGAATATGAATACAAATACCACAAGCTTGTTTTAAGGAAAAACTCTAAAATTGTGCACAATATTTCACGCTAGATACAACTAATATGATTTGATACTGATAATTTTGCTGTCTGTATAAGTCTTTGATTATAATTTTTTTTTTTGGGGGGGGGGGGTGGGGTGGGGGGGGTGGGGAAAGGGGGGGGGGGGTCAATTATTTGTATTAATAATTTTATTTGAATGAATAACTTATGTACACATGAATGTGTATTTACCAAAAGAAAGTCGTCCCAATGGCTGCTCCCCACCAGGTGTCGCCAACTCGAGGATCCAGACTGAAGTTTGTAAAGTCAGCGCGCCCTCCAGCTCTTGAAACCCTCCAGACCTTATCTCCCCCTCCAACAATTATTGATCCTAGAAAAAGAAAAGGATGAGAATACAGATTTAAATACAGCAGCAAATACACTCAGTTTGCCAAAGTTATGGGATCCGTTCTACCCCCTCTTCCCTATCATCTTCATAATTCCCTTACTGCTCCCCAATTATCCACCTCCTCTTTTTTCTAAGTTTTTTTTTCAGAATTTACAGTTAGACATACACATATATACAACTGCTCGTATTTAACATTTCTGGGAATACTATACCTTTAATGATGATGGTAAACAGACCCGTCAGCATCACAAGGCCCTGGAAAACATCTGTCCACACGACACTCTTGATGCCCCCGATGGCGGTGTAGACAGTCCCGATTACACCCACTATACCCACGGATACCCAGATGGGCAGATTAGCTCCTGCCTTGAACAAACAACAGACAACATTTTTTTAAATTCCATCTGTATGATTTGATTTGATTCAAGAACCGGCATCACAGCACTTGGGGCATTCCCATAAGCGCTCTGTCCCCATCTTCAGCAGCCAGCGAAAAGTTCCGATACCAATGGTGCCAGTAGCATTCTGATTAAACGTCCGTCTTGTCTTTCCTTATAGCCTAGAGCATCTGCCGGAATATCTCGTCACTCCCCCCCCCCCCCTTTTTTTTTGCTTCAATCTCACCAGACTGTGGTGATCGATCTGCTCCTCCGAACTGTACAAGCTCTCCCACAAGCTCTCCCTAACACCGTCTGCCTTATCATGTATCAGTATCCCACCAAGTTGTGCAGAGCCAGCCAGTCTGTCCGCCTGTTCATTTCCCAACACACCGGCGTTACTCGGTAAAAAAAAATCCAGACAATACTTCTCATCCGTGTCCTCGCAGCGAAGCATGCCACTCTGCACGAAGCGTGCCTGTCCTGATCTTCCTCAGCATGCATTCTGGGTCAGTTACAATCACAATGTGCGTGTGTGTTGTGTTCTCAAGCTAGTGGAAAGCTGCATTGACCGCCTCCACCTCCATTCTTAAGCTGGATGTTGTGGTATCATATGCTAGGCTCTCCTGCACCAAACGTTGACCATAAACCTTTGCTAAGAAGCCCTAATAAATAAACAGAGGGGGAACCTTTGAGGCCGTTAAATCTTCTATCTTTCTACTTCTTTCTATGAGTGCCGATCAATACACTTTCTGTTACTTGATTAATTCATAAGAAGCCCAAAGCACTTCTTTTGCCTCTTGACACTGAACCGTCTGTGTAAATGATTAAATCCTCTGAATTAATTGCTAAAAATTTCCATCTCTGTGGCACCTACTGGTCAGGCTCTGCATTTCCGGCTCAGCGTGATTATTACACTACACAAGTCTCACTGTTCAGGTGGCACTTTGACCCATTCCTCTGCTCGCCTAATGTTCTCAAGGATGCAAATCTGTCTGATTGTGTCTTCTGCCTGAGCCATCCATGACTTCCCTCTTATCAGCCGCTGACCCTTAACTGCACCCAGAGCTTCATGCAAAGGGTGGTCTGTGTCTGCAGCTACCCCAAGATATGACTTCGCCTACAGCACCGTGTGCCTACCTGCAACAGTCGCTAAAGCAAGAATGTATAGCACACCCACCACTGGGGTATCTCGGGTGCAACCCAGATTGACCCGTTTTGTATGCGCTCTACTTTGTCCATTTAACTTTTTGAGATGGTAAGCAGTCCCAGGCCATAATCAATCACTGACAGGATCAGGTGCTGATATAATGTGAAAAGCATTCTCTGCTTGATGTAAATTGCAGCCTTAGTCTTAAGTGCACTAAGTCCTTTTTGGCATCTTGTCACAACACTCTCGATAATTGGTCCTTAAAGAACAGGCTCCTGTCAAATGTTATTCCCAGATACTTTAATTTGCTAAAACAACTGGGCGAGGTTTCTGAGAGGGCCTCGAGCTGGCTTTGGACACAACGGAACGTCTTGGGGGACGGGCCTCGGAGAGCTGGTCCGGGTGTCCAGTGGAAAAGAATGTCTTATCCCTTAAAGTCCATCGTGTCCGAATTGTCTGCCAGTGTCCCTCTGCCACCTGCCAACAAAGTCCAACATGTGTCCGGTAAACCAAACGTAAGCTTGCCACTTGGTCGTCTAGGTAAGCTGACTGCTCGAATTATGCTACCGCGACGACTTTGTATCTCACAGTACCTTTCGCAAAGTCACCAATTCGTCTTGTCCCTGTCCGGACACATCCGGTAATACGTGCAGCAGGAGAAACCAACCATGAGCCTCATGAACTAAGGTGGGCCCACTCTCTGAAAAATGTCTAAGAGCTCGTGGGCCGAAACATTTGTCGACGAGAGATTACTTCTACTGATGATTGGTAGACTCCTGCTGTACATGCTCCACTGTGGAGTTTCTTCTTATTTCCTATCTCTCTCTGTTGATATCTCTACCATCTATCGTGAGACTTGGGACATTAGCTTTAACGAGTCTGTTGTCTAGAGAACACCATAAAACAGACGCCTTTTCTTGGTGGACGACAGCCCTCATTTCTGTACACCACTCAGTCACTTTGTCTACTGTCGCTTGTAGCTCCCGGGCTGTTTGATCTGTTGTCGGCTGAAAAAGTTCAGTACTGGTTCTGTGCCGACTATCCTCCTGATACAATCGCTCCTAAGTCGATATTTCATTGTTACACTTATTACTGTACCTAACAATTTCATTTCTGTCGTTTCTATTTTCGTTCTGTCTTATGAAGACAGGGTCCATGTTTGGCAGCATTGTAGCTCCCGGGCTGCTTGATCTGTTGTCGGCTGAAAAAGTTCTTCACCCTGCCTATATTCAAGTCTATCATTTGCAAAAGTAAGTATACTTCCAACTCCTGGTGCTTCTAGGCTTGCAATCTGGCTCGTATGCACGTTAAAGAGCACAGGCGAGATGACGGATTCCTGTGGCAGTCCTGGGGCCAAACTGCATGATTCTGAGGTCCATGAGCCCAGTCGGAGTGCAACCCGACGTGAATACAAGACAGCTGCAACCCAATTTACCAGCCATGGACTGGCCTCCTTCTCCTTCAGTGCAGTCATCAAGATGTCGTATCTCACTCTGTTATAAGCATCCTCAAGATCCAGTGCTACCGCCATAGTTTCCTGTTTGTTCTGGAAACCTTCATAGACGTCAAAAGTAAAAGCGGCCGCATTTGCCCTTGTTTTTTTTTTTATCCGAGTGGGCACATTGAGTTTAGGTAATAAACCAACAGGCATTGAACTCACTTTTATCCAAGTAATAACTCTAAGTAATATTATGGAAACTTTCACAGCTTCATCCTGGTTTGTCATTAGAATGTTAGAATGCACTTAATTCGATTCAGCTTAACTTAAATGACTGTGGAATCAATCTTTCAGGTACCAGTCCCGCCGGTAAGTAAAATAGTAAGTAAAGGTCCCTTTTCCACGCTTTTAGGCGTTTAGGGCAAATAGGGCTAGACCTATATTTTTATAGACCAATCGGCACAAGATGGGTGATGAGGTCATCATCACGCCGGCCGCCTTTACTTCCCGTGACTGCACCCGGTACCCACTCAAGGCTGGGTCGACCTGGGAGAAGGTCATTTTCCCACCGTGAGAGTCAGTAATATAACGCACTCATGTACATAAACGGACCTGCAATGCTAAAGCTGGCGAGAGCAGAGCGATAGCCATGAAGCATAAAGTTTGTAGCATTCCAACCAGGACAACAAACAATCGTAGAGTGTTGGAGTGGAACCTCAGCTGAAGGTATTCATACAAACTTGTTAATCGCAGCGGGTACAGCAGAGGCACAATAGTAAACGCAGCGACAATGTAACCCATGGACACTCCGACAAATAATGCAGCTGCCATACATCCGTTCATGTAGATGTCCGTAACCATTCCCACAAGGGTGATGCCCGACTGGGGGGGAAAAAAATAAACAGAATATTAATGGGAAACATGAAAAAGTAAACTTGCGTCATTCATAATTCGCAAAAGTTGTTTCTTTGAAGTCGGAGTGCATCTGCCTGAGAGCCAAGGAACCAGCAGTCTGCATACAGATGAGTCAGATCTGTAAAACGAATGCACGTACAACAGGTTCTGAAACATAACTGCAGTCCAAAAGTGGATGAAGAATCTGCACTTTCCTCCAGAATTTACAGCTGGTGAATACGAATAATAATAATAAAAAAAAAAAAAAACATGCATGTAACAACACAACGTTACATAAAACTTTAACAACCATTTTTCTCACTTATCTAGCTACATTGTGAGTCATGAACATAGTTTATGCCGGATCTGTACAACATATGTAGTACACTAAGTTTATATGTAAATACCGCATATCTCAGTAGCTCAAAAGATAACGGATGAAACAAAATAGCAAAGGTCCCCTTCCCAATCAATTAGTGTATTAAACATACGGTGCACAACGTTACATAAAACTTTAACAACCATTTTCACTTATCTAGCTACATTGTGAGTCAAGAACATAGTTCATGCCGGATCTGTACAACATATGTAGTACACTAAGTTTATATGTAAATACCGCATATCTCAGTAGCTCAAAAGATAACGGATGAAACAAAATAGCAAAGGTCCCCTTCTCAATCAATTAGTGTATTGAACATACGGTGCTATACCCATATTTTAATGGACCTATCTGTACTCGGTGATGCATTCAACTTGAAGATGGTCACCTATTATTCTCATGATATTTTCTATTATCCAATTTTTCCTTGGTCGAGCTGGGAGCCCATATCGTTTACAACAATACATCTCCGTGGAGTTAGTTAGCTGGTCTTTTCGACTGGGTCTAGAGGGGAAGGAGAAACGCATATGGTAGAGGTCAGAGCTCTCCATGTCTGACAGTTCGATGCCAACTGCTTTACGTCTTGGATGTTCGTTAGGCCCATGGTTGAGCCTTCCCTGATGACGGTTCTACGTAGGACCACTCTAGACAACATCACTAAACAATTCCTAGTGCTCATAACTAGATGGGCCACTGAGGTTATTATATTGTGACGATTAAATTACAATTTGTGATAATTATACAGAACCGAAGCTGAAAAGACCTACTGTTCAACACTATATCCTTTAGAATGCTGCCAAACATGGACCCTGTCTTCATAAGACAGAACGAAAATATAAACGACAGAAATGAAATTGTTAGGTACAGTAATAAGTGTAACAAGGAAATATCGACTTAGGAGCGATTGTATCAGGAGGATAGTCGGCACAGAACCAGTACTGAACTTTTTCAGCCGACAACAGATCAAGTGGTTTGGACAGGGAGCAATTTTATACATACGTGTGCAAACAACAGTAACAGATCCAGAGGTGGACCGAGCAGAATATGAGCCGCAGATATAGCAGACACTGAATAGTACTATATACGAAGCGAACAGAAGGGAACGCTCCAGATATATCTTCCTCCCCTGACGCTACGAGGGATTCCATGAGTATAGAAAATAAGAAGAGAAAGAAGAAGAAGAAGAGGAAGAAGAAGAAGAAGAAGAAGAAGAAGAAGAAGAAGAAGAAGAAGAAGAAGAAGAAGAAGAAGAAGAAGAAGAAGAAGAAGAAGAAGAAGAAGAAGAAGAAGAAGAAGAAGAAGAAGAAGAAGAAGAAGAAGAAGAAGAAGAAGAAGAAGAAGAAGAAGAAAAAGAAGAAGAAAAAGAAGAAGAAGAAGAAGAAGAGGAAGAAGAAGAGACGGCTTGTCGAGTCATTAGAACGCTGGGTATTTACGCAAAAGACCTGTAATAATAAGAACTACACAAAGAAAAATAAACACAGTAGTGGTCCACCGATCGACATTTGAAAGGTCCTTCGTCAACAATTGTTTCGGCCCAATAACTTCTTCCACAGTCTCGGAATGTGGACCGACCTGGTTCATGACGCCAGGCCTCAGACTTCCCCTGTTGCACTTATCGGACGTTTGGACAGGGACAATACGAAATGGTGAGTTTACAACAGGTATTATTCTATCCCTGGAAATAAAATGTTAGCAGATTTTTTTCCCCTTCTGGTGGCTACCATAAATATCCTAGCATGCAGTTTTTGTAAATCCCTTCTTTGGCTTTGTTAACAGGTTCATCACTGCGATCAGAAATTGGACGTTCCGGCTCAGTTTTTTCTTCAGTATTTTTCTCTCATTTTGAAAACTGAATACCACCTTATGCGTGAGATCATCATCATCAGGTGCCTTGCTGAGTGGCGTGGACGATCATGCCTCTCCATAATCCGCGATCTCCTGCAGCATGTATCAGTTCGTGTGCCGACACACCTCCATGCCATGCAACAAGACTGTCAATCATCTTCTCTCGTTGTCTTCCTCTATCCCTCCTTCCACAGATCTTTCCAGTGGTCACAACATGTTCTATTTTCCCTCTTCTCATAACATGGCCGAAAAATGATGACTGTCTCCTTCTGATGTCAGTGATAAGTTGTCTTCGGTCTCCCGCCTCTTTTAAAACCTCTTGGTTGCTCTTTTTGGCTGTCCAAGGTATTCTAAGCATTCTTCTGTAAAACCACATCTCTGAGGCCTCCAAAAATTGTTTGGCCTGCCCACCGATTGTCCAGGATTCACATCCATATGTTAAAACTGGATGTATGTAGCAAGCAAGAATTCTTTTTCTAACTCTCAATGACAAGGATATATTGCACAAGATGTTTTTCATTTTATAAAATGCAGTTTTTGCCTGTCCAATTCTGTTTCTTATTTCAGTTATGCATCTTCCATCTGATGTTATCCATGTGCCCAGATACTTAAATTTCTGTACTTGTCTTAAAATAACACCATTGACTTTTATTACACATTTAGGAATAATTGGTTTCTTTGATACCACCATTACTTCTGTCTTCCCATTATTCAAACTGAGGCCCATTCTTCCACTTTCTAACACCACAATGTCTATCATTTCCTGTAATTCTTTCTGACTTGTTGCTATCAAGACTGTGTCATCAGCATAACGTAAATTGTTTATATTGTGCCCACCAACCACGATTCCGGGCATATCAATTAAAGATCTCATAATATATTCACTGTATATTGAAAACAAATCAGGTGAAAGTACACATCCTTGTCGTACGCCCCTCTTTATGCTTTGAAATGTACCTAAACAGTTGTTAATTCTTATAGCTGTTGTTTGCTGCCAATACATATTCTTTATTATTCTTAGATCTTTCCCATCAATGTTTAATTTTTCTAACAGTTTGATTACTTCTTCATGCTTCACACAGTCAAATGCTTTTGTATAGTCTATGAAGCATAATGCGTGAGATAAAGAGTTTTAATAATAGTTGAAAAGGAGATATTGTGTGAGAAGCGATTTGAGTTCATTATAGCTTAGCAACAATTGACCTGCCGGTTGAAACCCCCGGTCTGCTGGTTTGGCAGCGTCGTAGTTTTGCCAGATGACTGACGCCTGTCTCCATGACAAACTTTGCTTCATGGATGCCATTGCTTTGGCCATAATAATAAAATCAGTCTCGTTATTTATTTGTCGGACTTATACGCGTCATCATCATGTTGCAGGTCATTGGTCGAAAGTTTCTCTCATCACGGTCTGCCTGATAGAAAATCAGCATCTCGATAGCTCTCCCGCCACACACACACACACACACACACACACACACACACACACACATATATATATATATATATATATATATATATATATATATATATATAAACGATGTAAATGTAATCATCATTTCGTGCCGTAGTAGCCTTTTCCTTCAATCATGTGCATTTCTTTCAATGGGTGGAACCCAGCCCAGTACGCATGGCCACTTTATGCAGTATTCGTCACATGGTTTAACTTCGACATCATCAGTTTCCTTGGTTAACGTGTTTCCTATCTCAGTGTGTGTTTAGAGATTCTATGTCCGCTTCTCTTCATGTTAGCACATTTTGATATAAGCTGTTATCGTATATATATATATATATATATATATATATATATATATATATATATATATATATATATATATATACAGACATACACACATATATATTCAAATATTATAATAAGAACTATATATTAAATTATTATTATCAAATATTAAAATTAACACATTTACTGTAAACGTTGCAAAAATAGATAATGCAACAGGCAACATAAACATGCGTCGTCCGCCAAGTAGATACTCCGTTCTGTTGACATTTCTGAAATCTTTTACAGCAAACAGGACTCCGATCCCCAAAGAGACAGACAATGTTAACACTATTACGGTATAATCAACAATCTGTAAAGACACAGTATTCTCCATGCTGTGCTGTAAATGTCTCCGGTATGTGATAAACTGCATTATTTGTATAACATAGAAACTCCGATGAACTCATGCAGATTCACTGCAAAATGAAATATCTGTTTTATTGAGAAAATTAACTGTTTTGTACCTATAGTATAATGACTTGGCTGAAGTATGTAGCATGGCGTTACATAGCCACAATTATTATTATATAAAGCAGCTATTGCTTAGTTCATGAATCATAAAATGAATCATAAAATGAAAATAGTAGTCCGCCAGTGTCGTATATGTGTGTTCAAACCCTAATATACCATCTAGCTGCTTCGTAACAAATATCTCATTTTTTATTATTTCAATGCAATTTCTATGCTGACTACAGCTGACGCTATTATCAGAAGTAGTTGTAAGCGGCTGGCTGAGTGGTTACAACTTTGGACTCTCATGCAGGAGACCTGAATTCGACCCCTGGTAAGGCTTTTCTGTCAGGGGCAAAATTAAACATCCTAAACTGCACAGTCCGTGGCGACACAACTAGCCAGGCGGCCCTAAATTTCACGTTCAAGCCCCCCCCCCCCCCCCTTTTTCCCCTGTCTACACCGCCCTAACAAAAGTGGTAAAACAGACAGTAGTAACAGTTGACATTTTGTGTTACAGTTGTGAGCACCAGACATGTATAGTTTTATGTCTGCAAATGTATGCTCTTAGATCATGTGACACTGCAAATTATGGTGCGTGCACAGATTTTTTTAAAATTTGATTTAAGAACCGACATCATATTAATAGAGACAATGCCCCAATGAAATGCGAGAAATAACCACTGAGTAGGATTGAGAATTGCATCATACCAGCAAAATATATACTAAATAGAAATGACATATCAGAAGAAATCAATGAGCAGCAAACTAGTTCAGGGCACGAGAATAATAAAATACATTTAAAAAATTTATTGCGGAGAAACAAAACAGATAACGAGCTAAAATCTCATACAGCATCTGACAAAAACAAACACAAAAAATGAATGGCAGATTTATAAAACCAAATCCTGAACACAGTGAAAGAGAATAGCGGCCTAAAATATTAGGCACTACAGAAATAGTGGAGTGTGGTAGGTTGACGATTTTAAACGTTCTATCCAGGAAAAGAAAGTATATTTCTATCCGTCTCAAAATACCAAATCAGATGAAGACTATTGAAGATCAGCAAGAAAAGACAGCAAAAGAAAACCGAAAGCAGCAAAATTAAAATCTTCAACAGGTAGTGAAGAACACGTAGTACAATGATGTACCGGTTTTAAAAAAAATTTGTAAATAAAAGTTACAGAAACGCCAAGTCAATGAGATTGGGAGAAATCATAATTTAACACATCCACAGTTATTGATACCGAAGTTGATAACCTGACGCAGAAAACATAATAACGTAAACAGTATTGTCAGCAGTATTTCAGACAAACATGTATATGAATTCAAATACCAGAGACGACAATATTGTTTTATCATTTCAAATGTGAGCCTGCCATCATGTGCTCGTTTTGTTAAAATCAAAATCTGGTGAAAATATGGGGGTGACTGCAGTCAAGCTTATGCAAGGAATTCCAGAGAATTTTGACTAAAAAGCTCAAAATTAGGAAGCAGAAAAACGTGAACAAAACAAGAAAACGTAACGTTTCGACCGGGCAGCCTTTTTCAAAAATAAGTGAACTACACAAACGTAACAATGAGGAGAGGAGAGTATGTAGATCTCTAAGGCTAACTCACGTATTGTTATCATATCTTTTCATTTGCCACGCAGCTCACCCATGTTTCAGCAACATATAGCAGTCACGATGTAACATTATAGCTAAATATTTAACCTTTGATTTCCTAAAGGAAAATGTACATATAAGACTAATTCAACAGGCAATGTTCCCATTCCATTTGCACAAACAATTTAGCTTTGCAAATAAGGAAGCATACAATCTGTGCCTTTGCAACTTTGCAACTCACCAGAAAAGGACCACAACGAACGTGAGTATATTAGGCGTACATGATTCATGCATCTGCAGACATGAGGTTACAGAAAATAAGATCACAGCAGCGTTCAGCAAAAATGCATTCTTAGCCTCAGTCATTGACTTCATGGTTGAGACATGTTGTTTGATTTGATTTGATCTGATTCAATACCCGACATCACATCATTCGGGGCATTCCCATAAGCGCTCCGTGCCCATTTTCAGCAGCCAGCGAAGAGTTGCGATACTAATGGTGCCAGTAGCATTCTGATTAAACGTCCGTCTTGCCTTTCCTCTGATCCTCGAGCATCTTCCAGAACCTCTCGTCACTCCCCGCTGCATCAATCTCACCAGACTGTGGTGATCCATTTGCTCCTCCGAACTGTACACGCTCTCTCACAAGGCACTAACCACGTCTGCCTTATTGTGTATCAGTTGAGACATGCTATGAAGAGGATTAGTTACAGATGGTTACTAGCCTGCAATGGCAAATTATATTTCATAAAGCGCATGATAAATGTATTCAACGAAGTTTAAAAAAATGTAAATGTAGAGCAAATCATTCCAATCATCGTTTGTCGTACACGGGAATAGAACACGGTGCAATGAAGTCGATCCTTTCATCTTTAGCTTTGCCTAGGATGATTACTTTACAACAACGATGTAGCAGTAAAATGCAGGTGTGTATAAAATGAACATTTGCTACTTTTGTTGACGAAAACATCTGAAGTGGACCTATTGTAATATGGTTAGAGACTACCTGCTGCCACAAGAATTTAAGACCAGAAGGTTATGAACCAATTCATTATCGACAAAAAAGCGTTCAGTGACAACACTTTACATGGTAGAATACTTATTTCTTATGCCCTATTCATGTGTTACAGTAACAAATTATAACATAATTGTCAAATTCAATTTCCTTTGCGCAGCAAAGTATTTGTACTTTTAAAGAGCACGCTTTTATTAGTGACATATAGCAACTAATTGGATTACAACAATTTAAAACAATTGCTTACGACGGACTTCTTCTATTTCTTCCTCTTCTTCGGTTCACCAGCTGTAAACTCTGGTGAAAAGTTCTGGCTGTTCATCCACTTCTGGACTTTAGTCCTGTTCCAGAACCTGAGTGTTACGTGGGCATCTGTTTTACAGATCTGACTCATTTGTACGCAGACTGCTGGTTTCTTGCCTCTCAGACAGATGCACGCCGACTTCGAAAGAAGCTGCCAATTAGTCCACTCTTATGTTTTGGGTAGGCAGTGGGTCTATTCTTGTTTTCCCTATAATAGGGCCCCGGAACCCACACGAATGTGTTACTTGCTTATATTATTCACATTAAAGCCTTAATTAAAGATGGCCGGTTTGCTATATCAAACTGGCATTTAAACCTTCTATTTGCCTTCCAGCTGCTTCTGAATAAATATCTCAACTCCTAACATAATGCTGCATATAAAAATAAAAATGAACTTAACAAGATTATCGAGAAAATAAAAATATCATGCCAAATAATATCTTGCTATGAATGCATAAGTGCAAAAATGCCAACAGTGAACGATTGCCAACAGTGCTGATGACATAGTTGGCAGCTTCTACGCATCTTTTTCAGATGATTCATACTATTCTGTCTTCATGTCCATGTGCATCGCTGATAGTGCGACTATCAGGAATGAGGCCTCTATGGACAGGAAAGACGTCATCAATGCCATACGAAAGACTAAACCCTTTGAGGCTTTCAATTTCGTGCAAAATTATGTTTCACTGAATAGACTGCATACCCTGGTTGTATCATTTTGAGACACAAGACAGGAAAATCAGGTGGGATCCAGAACAGAATGGAAGCCTAAAAACACTTGAAGACGTGCTCAGGAGGAGATGGGAGCACTTATGGTCATGCCCGATGTGCGATGAAGTTGATCTCTAAACTGAACAGTAAACAAGGCTTCGCTATTTAAAGTACACCTGTATTTAAACTTGGTGGCGTTGAGATGGTGTAAGACCTGTCGGAAAATTCCCAGTTTGTGTATTATATAAAGAGGAAGGAAATTCAAAACAAGCGTTCTTTTCCCCTTCTCCTGGCTGTAAACACCGGTGATAAGTTTTGGTTGTTGGTCCACTTCTGGACTTATTGCAGAACTTGAATTTTGCGTGCACATCAGCCCTTTTGTATGCAGACTGTTGGTTCCTTGCCTTGTATTCAGGTGCACATCGTCTTAGCTGTAAACAACACTAATTAGCTGACTTTTAGGAAGACAGAAGGTCTATTCATTCTTGTCCCCTCAATGGTGCCCTGAAATCTGCACAGGAAACGCTGATATTCAGTCTTACCAGTGTTTACATGGCTGACTTCTTTTCTTCATTTTTTTTTTTTTTTAATTTCCATTTTGTAACAATTGAGTAAATAAGGCTGAACCCCAATAGGACCACACAATGAACGACTAACACACCGTGACACAAAAATGCTATCACTCGGATCAGAATTCCCTAGACCCAAGTTTCAGAAACTTATTTCTACCATAGAATTATATGAAAGACCCGTACGGTTACCAAGTAACCTGAAATACAGCCGGGAAGGGTTATCATGTTTAAACAAACAGTGTCCCATATCAGGAAGGGAATTGATTGTCTTCATTGATGTTTATCATTTAAAGGTTTTCAGCAGTGTATCCCACAAAGCTATCACATTACTATCCCAAGAAACTTATCATGGAAGCCAAAAATGAAACCAAAATTAGAATTTTTAGAGCATGCATCTTCCCTGTAGCAACATATGGATGTGGGTCGTGGACTATCTCCCAGTCCTTAAGAAAGAGAATAGGAGCTTTGGAGATAAAATGCTATAGAAAGATTCTCAGAATATCTTGGACAAAGAAGAGTAGAAATACTGACATTTTGAAAGATCTGAACATCAAGAAAGATGGGCTGATAAACAGCATCCTATACCGGAAGCTGAAATATTTTGGTCAATTCAAGCACCACAACGGATTGAAAAAAATTATAGCAGAAGGCATTGTACCAGAAAGGAGGGGCAGGG